CCCAAATAAGAAGGGTTTAAAAAAAAAAAAAAAAAAAAAAAAAAAAAAAAAATTTAAGTAAAGAAAAGAACAAGTGTTGGTGAGGATGTGGGGAAATTGGAAGTCTTGTGCATTGATAGTAGAAATGTATAATGGTGCTCTTGCTGTGGAAGTGGAATGACAATTCCTCAAAAAACTAAACATGGAATTGCCATACAATCTAGAAATTCCACTTCTGGGTATATAAACCAAAAGAAGTGAAAGTAGAGGCTTGGATAGATACTATTAAACCCATATTCATAGCCGTATTAGTCACACCAGCCAAAGTGGAGAAGTAACCCAAAGGCCCATGATAATTGAATGCATAAGCAAAACGTAAAGTACACACACAAAATATCATGCAGTCTTAACATATGGAAAATTTTTAAAACGGAAATTCTGACAAATACTACAACATAAATGAGCCTCGATGACATTAGGCTAAGTAAAATAACTCCGTCACAAAAGGATAACTATTCTGATTCCTCTTACATAAAGTATCTAGAAAATTAAATTCACAGACAGAAAGTGGAAATGTAGTTGCCAGGGGCTGGCCAAGAAGGGAACGGGGGGGGGGGGGGGGCGGTTGTGTTTAATGAGCACGGAGTTTCGGTTATTCATTGAGAAGGCTGCTGTTAACAGCTGCACGACAATGGGAATACACTGAAGGCATGGAACTGTGCATGTAAAGACAGTTAGAATGCATATTTTAAATATTTTTAAAATATTTTATAATTTTTTAAAAGCCTCACAATTGTCCAATACACTATAGAATTCCAAAAAGATGATGGATGGTTAAAAACAGAAATTTATTTTATTTGGACCTTAAAGGAATTTGATAGGAAATAACAGGGAAAGACATTCTAGGTTCCAAGGAGCTCGTGATCAAAGGCAAAACCATAGAAATGCGTGGCATATCACAGACCTTATAATACATGGGCAGTTATTAGCTGCCTAAGTTCAGAAAGATTGGGTAAATCCAAATCATTGAAGATCTTACATATCACACTAAGGAAGGCTGACTAAATCTTAAAGGCAACAGAACATCTTGACAAGTTTAGGGAAGAGTGAATTGAGATATCCAATCCACATTTTGGAACTGCAAGTATGTGAAGAGATGATTAGAGTCTACCATGTTTGGAAAGATGCTGGTTGTTGGCGTCCTGGGATGGGAAACAGTTGTATGTGTGAAAAGAGAGAGAGAGAGGCTCAAGATGTTTCATTGAAAGAAGCAATGACTTGTCCTACCAAAGATGTACCATCCCTACCAGCACCGCCACAGGTTAATCTAGGACTCCATCCATTCTTGCTACCACTTCAACAGTGTACTGACTTCTCCGTCTTCTTGAAATGTACGTCAACCGTACCTCTCCATGACGGACACCTTTCCCTAGCTCCCACTGCAGTCACAATAAACTCCGAGCTCAGCATCTGGACCTACTAGCTGGGCTATGCTGTTCGCCTGCTCACTTCTCATGCTTCAAAGCCCAGATTCTTTCACTCTCAGTTTCCAGCCACTTTCACCTTTGAGCTTGTTGAACACACCTGGCTTTTGCCCATCTCTGAGCATTTCACTCATAATGGCTTCTGCCTGGACCACTCTTCCCCCCAGATCTTTGTATGGCTGGTTTCTTCTTACCTTTTAAGTCCCAGTTCAAATGAAAAATGACCCAAAGAAGCTTTTTCTAAACACTTTATTTAAACAAGGACTCCCCCTTAAGTATCCTCTGTTATAGCTCCCACAGCACCCAGAGCAAATGCATCCACTGGAAGAAGACTGAGAGTGAGAGATGGAAAGGGTGAAATCACCCTGATGGAGCATGGTCACATCACAATCCTTTCTCCATGTCTCCCACCTGTTGGGATTTTGGGCACATATGCATACACACCCAATGTGGGGTTTTTTGGGGGTTTTTTTGGAGAGGTTTTCTTCGCCATAGGGCGTGTGTGCTCGCCAGACAGACAGAGAGAGACATAGAAACAGAAAGCGAGAAATCACCCCCCAGGGGGGATGTCCACGCCGCAATCCCTTCTCCTCCATTCTCCTCTTGGGATCTTAGGCACGCATTCACACGCGCCCGGCGTGACTTTTAAACCACCGAGTCTGGGATTCGAACCGCAGTCGACTACATGGGAGTCCAGCAACATAGCCATTACGCTAACTGCTGGTTCCCCCCAATGTGTTTTTTAAGCTGCCAGGTCCAGTACCACAGTCAGTGGTGTAGGATCCAGCTCTCTGAACAGCCATGCTACCAGTCAGCCCCAGTAAGTCTTTTTAAAACTCTTTTCATTGTTTTCTCAATCATGAGGCCATCTTATTCATAGTTAGAGGCCCAGCTCTAAGCAATGTCAGCACATAGTTTACATACTAAAATATGTAAAATAAATAAATGAAAAGGAACCAGCCATGAGTATGGATTGGGGTGAGGGGGAGAAAAATGGACTCCAATATTCACAATCCAGACTGCTGGGGAAGAGGGACGAGTAATGACAGAGCGTCCCTGGAGGATGACTAGATACAGGTCTCAAAAGACATCCACATTGGGGCTGGCAAGTGGCATGGTGGTTAAAGGTGCTGGACTCCCCATGGCTGACCGTGGTTCAAGTCTCGAACCTGGTGGCTTGCTTTCTCACTTCCTCTCTCTCTGTCTCTGTCTCCCTCTGATCAAACTGGAAAATAATAATGATAATAATAACAATAAATAAAGTTAAATAAAATAATTCTTAAAAAAAAAAAAAAAAGACATTCATGTGAATGCTGCCAAACAGAGGAACAGGGAAAAACCTCAAACAACCAGAAACTTGGAGGTAAACTTTCTTTTCTTCTGCAACTCCTCGCATATCTCCCAGTTTGGGGTGAGGGGAAACTGGATGGAAGGATAATTACATACCAAATTTTCTATAGATAGCTGAAACTGTTTAATTTCACGAAGGGTCTCATTATCTCTTTTCACTTCATTCACATACTGTGCCAAGTCCTAAAGAATGATGAGAAGGATACAAAAAGAAAACACAGGAAGATTAGAGAAGAGATGCGAATTGCTTTGAAAGAAAACACATCATTACTTCCATTAGTGGTAAAAGTAACCACCGTAACTTTTCAATGACAATAAAATGAACAGCCGGTCAATCAGAGCTGCTGCGTCTCAGAGGCAGTTTAAAAATGTCTGGAGTACAGCTGGAAGCCTGCAGAGTTGTCATTTACCACATCCCTGAAAAGAGGAAGGAAGTTGTTGCCTTAAAGAAACAAAAACAGAATGAATCTGCTGCTATGCAAAGCTATGAAAAGAAGCCTAGGGCAGAAGAATGTCCACGCTAAGCACATTAATAACTAACCTTGAGAGAGTTACACTCACACAGGCTAGAAAAAGGCTCGTGCTGGAGGTCAGCAGGGAGAAAGCAGGGACTGAGAGTTAGACAAGGAATGGCGAAGGACTGTTTTCCGCAACCTGTTAGTGTCTTCCTAGTTCCTGAGACTGTTCAGTTAAGGAAGCCAGTTTAATTTGAAAGAGTTAATAAAAGAAGAGGTGAAAAAAAAAAAAAAAAGCACAAAAAATGAACCCAAGAGAGAAAAAAAAAAAATGCTGCTCATATTTCTCCATGTGGCTTCACCTATTTTAAAATGTCTTCTCATATTTAAAGAAACATTAGCTAATCTTTCCATACTGTAACAAGCTATTTTTATTACATGTGCTCCAGATTTTCCTGTTTTCTGAGCTTTTTACTTTTTCTCTACCCTCTTACATGCATCTGCAACAATAGGGACAGAACTCGGCAAAAAGCAGTCCCTCACTTTGTTCCAAATGGAAGTCTTACTTTTCATAGGACGTATTCATAAGTGATTTCTTTAACAATTGGAAACATGGCAAGACTTTTTTTAATAATACACTAAATAACTCTGTGGCACTTCCTGACAATGGAAACTGAACAGCAAAATGGACACCGAAATTGGCCCAGGGACACAGTTAAGTCATTATGCATTGCTCTGGGCAGGGTCACATTGCTATTCTATTTTTAAGAACAAATATTTGCATATGTTTTAAGTTATGTGCAAATATCTCTTTCAAAGTCAATTTTATTCAACATCATGTAAAAATTGGGGTTTTGCATTTTCCCCAACATGTTCAAAATGTCTGCTTTCACCTACTTAACATTTTTTATTCATATTTACCTGAAATCAGAACACCAAATTTAAACGACTTGTACCTAACACAATATGCGTAAGGGTGAACCTGGAAGAAACCTTCCTGAGGAAAATAATAAGTGCCCCTGTTTGTGTCCTCAGCGATTACTTCCATGGGCCTACAATTTTCTATCAGAAACCATGAAAAGGATATGAAATAAAACCATTACATTCAATCATTCCTGTGATTATAAAAGTTCCTATGCTTGTATAAAAGTTATGTTAATGTACCTCTTGGTTTTATGTGTTTTTCTCTATCCATGCAAGGATATCTATTTCAATAAAAATATCCAGCTCCCTCTACTCAAAACAAATTTGTATCGTAATATATTAGCATATCCTATCTATCTCTCTATCTATATATATATATATATACACACACATATATGATTTACACATACATATATGATTTACACACACACACACACATATATGTAAAATATATAAAAGCAGTTAAGTAATTTGAGTTCTGTTTTTTTAATTGCCAAAGGGCACAGACACTTGCCAGACAAAGAGAGAGGAAAAGAATCCGTTAATGGTGTATGCTCGCACTACCATCCCTTCTCCATTTCTCCATACTGTTAGGGTTTGGGGCTCATGTGCCCAGCATGTTTTTCAAGCTGCCAGGGCTAGAATTCAAACCACAGCTGGCCATGTGGGATCCGGCTCCCTTAACCAGTAGGCCACAGGGTCAGCCCAAATAACACTGTTTTTAAGTAAGAATAAAAATATAAAAACAAGTCACAGGGCCAGCAGATGGCATAGCAGTTACATTACTAGACTCCCACATAACCAACTACAGTTCGAGTCCCAGACCCAGTGGCTTGAAAATCACACTGGGTATGTGTGCATGTGTGCCCAAGATCCCAGGAGGAGAGTGGAGGAAAAAGGGATTGTGACTCTTCTCTACAGAATGCTGCTGCTGCTGCTGCTGCTGCTGCTTCTTCTTCTCCTCCTCCTCCTCCTCCTCCTCCTCCTCCTTCTTTCTTTCTCTCTCTCTCTCTCTCTCTCTCTCTCTCTCTAGTGCATGTGCTCTAAGGCAAAAATCTCTTAAAAAAATAAATAAAAACAAGTTACTGACACATTTGCCTTACCTTCATTGCATCAAGAGCCTGTTTCAGATTTGCCTTCTCAGTAGGGTCAGTGGTATGTTTGACCAGTTCCTGTTTGGAGAATATAGTTTAGTACTACTTTTATCAAATGAAACTAAGATAAATGAAATAAAACATTTTTAAAAGCAGCTCATTACATCATTCTCCTCTCTGTAATGTGATAATCTGATAGCACCAGGTTTTATTTTCACCAAAAATTTCAAACTGTAAAAAGATAAACACCAAGAAGATAAGAGAAATGTTTGGAAACATTTTCCTCTCAAAGATGAATTTGAATTGTGTCCCCTGCCCTACACTGCTCACCAGTGTCATGAAAGACCTCCCAGAGGTGAACTGAACTGATGCAGTTTACTCATGATTGCACTTGGCTTCTCTATGGTTTTTAGCTCTGAAGATCACATCTCTCCTTTCCTTTCAGGGACTTCAGAATGCCCTTGTTCATTGCTATTCCTGGTGTGTTTTTTTTGTTTGTCCATCATAAGTGCCTGCCTACCCTTCAGTCTTTCATTGCTTCTTTATTTGTGCCTTAGAAAACCATTGTTAACTAGATTTCCACCCTAGTCCTCCTTCATTCTTACTTTACATACTCTGCAAATTCTATCACAACTACTGCCATAGCATCAGCTATCACCTGATGAGGCCGTATGATCAGTAGTATGCACTCACCGGAAAACTTAAGCCTGAGTCCCAGACTTATGCATCCAACTAAAGAGCTCTACCTACAGGGCCAGCAGATAGTATGGTGGTTAAGGTACTGGATACCCATATGGCTGACTGTGGTTCAAATCTTGAACCTAGCAACTTGCTTTCTCACTTTCCCTCTTTGTTTCTCTCTGGTCAAATTTAAAAAATAACAAATAAAATTAAATAAAGAATTCTTTTTTTAAAAAAAAAAAAAGAAAAGAAAGAAGAAAGAAAGAAAGAGCTCTACTAGGGTAACTCATGGGCCCCTCAAATTCAACATGTACAAAACTTAATGTATCTTCACAAAGAACCTTCCTCTTGTTCCTAATTACGTTTTTTTCTTTCTTTTTTTTTTTTTTTTGGAGAGTTTTTTGCTATAGGGCACATGCTCTCCCCAGAAAGAGAGAGAGAGAGACAGAAAGAGAGAAATCACCCCTCCAGGGGGGATGGCCACGCCGCAAGCTCTTTTCCTCCATTCTCCTCTCAGGATCTTGGGCACGCATGCACACGCACCCGGTGTGAGTTTAAGCCACTGGGTCCGGGACTCGAACCACGGTCGACTACATGGGAGTCCATAAACATAGCCATTATGCCATCTGCTGGTCCCCCTATTTACATTTTATTGAATGATGACATTTCCATCAGTGTAATCACGTAAGCCAAAACCTAAAAGGTATCTACCAACTTCTCCTCTCTCCCTCATGATGTCCTATTGATGACCCTGCCCTTTGAAACCACCCTCACTGTCACTACCTAGGTTTAGGTTGTTGCCCTTTGTCAGAATTAAGTTATTCTTAACATTTCATTCTTAACATTTCCAATCTTCTAGTATAAAACAGTCTAATTTAATAAGACTGTGATTTCAAATCATCAAGCATTTCAAGTGAGATTTGTTTACTAAAATACAGTAGTATGTAGTAAATGTCCAAGTTTATTTATCACATATTTGTTCAAGAAATTTCTAGACACCAAACGTTATTCTACAATATTTATAGACATAAAAACATTTATCAGACTTTTAGCCATAAATGGTACTTAAAATAAAACCTTTCCCATTTTAAAAAGTCATCATAGGACCAATAAATAATGTGGTGGTTAAGGCACTGGGTCCTATATGGTCAACTCCATGGTTCAAGTCCCAACCCAGAGGCCTAAGAAACACATCAGGTGTATGTGTGTGAGAACCCAAAACCTCGGGACCAGCAGTTAGCGTAATGGCTGGGTCGCTGGACTCCCACATGGTCGACTGTGGTTCGCGTCCCGGAACCGGTGGCTTAAAACTCACACTGGGCGTGTGTGCATGCGTGCCCAAGGTCCCAAGAGGAGAATGGAGGAGAAGGGATTGTGGTGTGGCCATCCCCCCAGGGGGTGATTTCTCACTTTCTATCTCTCTGTCTATCTCTGTCTGGCGAGCACACGTGCCCTATAGCGAAAACCTCTCCAAAAAAAAAAAAAGAAAAGAACCGAAAATCTCAAGAGGAGAAAGAAGTTGAAGGGATTATGGTGTGGCCATCCTCCCAGAGGGGTGATTTAGCACTTTCCCTCTCTCTGTTTCGCCCCAGCAAACGTACATGCCTTATGGTAAAAATCTTTGAAAAGAAAGAGGAATTATAGAATGAAACACATTCTTAAAAATTGAAATACAAAACTATTTAAAAGAAATTAGGAGGAAAGTTTACCAAATTTTGAAAATGTATGGTCATATCTTATAATTTTCTAAGTCTACATGAAATCTTATAGGACCGAAATAAATATTTCTTGAAAACTGCACCTTCTAAATTCTTCAATTAATATTTGACTACACCAAAGTTACAAAATAAATTATTATCTTGTTTTAGACATGTTTTTAGTTCCATGATGCCTTGGAAACTGATTGCCTGAATCTTCCTTATTATTTTTTCATAAAACCCAATTTGATTAAGTTGCTTTGAGTTTATGTCTCATAAATGTTTTAATGCATTTTTAAGGAATAATCAGGGTTTGAATTTTTCTGATTTCTCAGTAGAACAAAAATAGGGATGACTAATAATTTTGCAGCTACAGTTCAAGAAATTTAATATACAAGATGTACAAAGCAGAGCAGACTCAAAATTATATTTCACATACAGGTAGTAGATCTTTTTAAAATGACATTTCACAAGCATCAGCACAGTTGACAGACTAATACAGTAAGGCATTTCTTTGGAGCAGAACTAATGAGTCTCCTGGTATAGCTATCAAATTAAATTTATAAGACTCTCCACCCTCATTAGAAGACTAACCGTGGAAACCATAAGCTTTGTGGGTTATAACAAGAATTGCTTCAAAATAAACGTAGTCTTATTATAAATTAGGAAAGTAGAAAGCAACACAGAATGTGACAGTTCTCTTTAGCTTATGGCTTATAAGGCAAAAGGTCTAATACGATTAATACAAAATTAATATTCATTGCAGTATTGAGAGGCTAATAAATGATTACTGCTCACTATAGAAGACTTGCTTGAAGACATATTTTTATTTGTTTGGCTTTATTTTTATTTTGCTTTTTGCCAGTTCTGTTTGGCAAACCCAAAATGTGATTTTTGGCAAATACAGAATCATCTTTGCTGAAAGGGAAAAGAAAATGTCCAGTTGTTCTGTTATTTTCTACTTAGCTTTAATAATACTTGAATACTTAAAGGGCATGGGGCCCAAAACATGGAGTATCTGCAACACAGTGATGCTCCATTCATATTTTGTGAATGAATAAATGAATAATAAGCAAACAATTTTAAATTACATACCTGGAGGAGAAGATGATACTTTAAAACACGCTGCATTGGAACCACAAGCAAATCTCGAAGAGTAAATTTCCCATTATTTGCTCTTTTGGAACATTCCTAATGAAATATTTTCAAAAAAAAATGTTTTAACTTAGTTTTCTCAAAAGGAATCCTAAAGATTAAAAGATGCAAAGATCTTAATCAGAACGATTATTATGCAATAATACAGTGCTTGTTTTCCTTAACAATCCTTCCCTCCATATTGCATAAGCCATCTTTAATTAAAAGCAAAACAAATCTTTTACTGTTTCAACTCCAGCTATAGATCAAATAGAATTACTCTATGTAGGAAAATTATTTTCTCTAGTAGAAAATGGTGGCTCTCCAGGGTCATCCTCAGTTTACCCCGAGATTGTACCTTCCATCAATAAACATAGTGTAGAAATAATAATTACTCAATGGGACAAGAGCAAGTCCCTCCTCACTTTGCTGTGAGCCTGCCCACCCTCATGCCTTGGTTTATTCAGTTCTCTCTGGCTGCGGTGTGTAAAGCCCCACCTCCCGCTAAATTCAGCATCTTCTCGAAGCACTATTCTTCCAGGTCTTCAGTAATAATCCCAATCTAAATTATGTATGCTCTCTCTCTTTTTTCTCCTCTCTCGCTCGTTCTCTCTTTCTGCCCTATGGGTCTTCTAATTATTATTGTACACAATATCTTCCCCAACACGAACTCTATATCTCTTAAGAATCTAGTATTTGCTTAATAAATATTTATTGAAATGAATGAAATAGGATGTTTGACTCTGAAAGATTGCCAAAGTTTTGCTATAAACCCACTACTGAACTCCAAGTTTTTTTTAAAAAAAACTTCAGATTGTATTTTTGAATTGCACATGCTTCTTTTTCAAAAGTTTACTTTAAAAAAGTATTGACTTGTTTACTCTTCAGATAGTAACCATGACTTTTTTTTTTTTTTTGAGAGATTTTTACTGTAGGGCGCGTGCGCTCGCCAGACAGACAGAGAGAGACATAGAGACAGAAAGCGAGAAATCACCCCCCAGGGGGGATGGTCACGCCGCAATCCCTTCTCCTCCATTCTCCTCTCGGGATCTTGGGCACGCACGCACACGCGCCGGGCATGAGTTTTAAGCCACCGGGTCCGGGACAGGAACGGCGGTCGACTACGTGGGAGTCCAGTGACACAGCCATTACGCTAACTGCTGGTTCCCAGTAACCATGACTTTTAAGAAAGTGCTTTGAATTCAAAATGTCAAAGCACAAATTTAACGCAAGATTTGCCAACTGTTGGCAGTGTGACCTTGGACAAGTCACTTTTCTGATTTTACCATTTCTCATTTACCTGTGGTATTCTTAAAAGAAAAATAATAACATGGCATAGAAATTGTATTTCTGTGAGCAACCTTATATGCCCCAAATCCTCACACAATTGCATATCTTAGACCAAGGACTTTACAGCTAATGGGAGGCAATATGCTTAAGAAAATACTCTTTTGCTCATTTTTTTTTCGCTTTTGCTCACACTTAGTTTTTCAACACACTGAAAGATAAATTATCAGAAGCCATAAAGCCAGTACTATTAACTCTAATAACCACAGTGACTTACTGAGTGTGTCTGGCTACAAATCTTAAGCAAAATGAACTGGGGACACCTCCTGACATGTTAGCTTGTGTCATCACTTTCTGTGGTTCACTGACAAGATAACTTTTTCAACGGATTTCGTGTCTCTATAGTTTGCAGAGAGTTCTGGACCGTGTGTCTCCAACAGGATGGTAAACTGTTAATATTATTGTAACGAGTAGGTCATGTTCCCCCAGCTGCATTTTAAGCTCCCTGGAATTGTGGTTGTAGTTTATGTCTATGTTATACCATCCTAGACAGGATTAGGGACAGACACAGCACACATTTAAAATTCACTGTTATAGAAGTTAGTTTAAAAGTATTGAGAAAACAAAAACAAAAACAAATAAACAAATGAAGAAATTAGCTCCTTTAAGTTCTAAGCTATGATTAAGAAACCAATATTGCTGGCATTAGCTACGACTGGGGAATGGAGGCTGAGGTGTGAAATGTTGAATGGTCTTGAAAGGAAACACAGGGTAGAAATAATAATTCTAAAACATCCAGTCACTTGCTTAGCCTAAAATCAATTATAATTGAAAGGAAAATAAAAAGGGGTAGTATGAGCCAGGGCTTTAGGGTAAGATAAAAAGACTATCACCTTCACCCCATGTTACCTTGGTTCCAAAGTAGAGAAGACAAAAAAAAATTTTTAAGGCAAAAATAATCACAAAACAGAAGACACGAAGAAGGCAGAGACACACTAGAACAAGGCAGCTTTTCCTCCATCATGCTGGGACTTAGAGCAGGCAGTTCCCACAGAGTATTTGTTGAAGTGTTCCAGCAAGTATCTGATTAAATACTTCTAAATCGGGCCTGTGGTCAGAAGGAAGGGCTTTGAAGTTGAGGAGAGGACAGGCAGCAGGACCTCACTCTGAGCCTTTCAAACTCAGCCTGAGATCCTCCCTTTCTCTAAAACCAACAGTGACTGCAGAAACGACATACTTGGAGTCCAGAGTGTGGTCACTGGGCAGAACTTTGGCAATGACTCTGAATGTAGGAAGAGTGGCTTCGATCGAAGCTGAAAGTACAATGGAGGCTTAATTGACAACCTGCTTATGCCTATCTTGAACCACAATTTTATATTTTCATCTTTTAAAAAATGATGAAAGGGTTGCTTTACTGAGAACTAGTTGTATTAGTTGTGTGATTTTATTTCACTATTATATTTTAATCTAAAGTTGAAGTGTTGAGGTAGCTTTTGGTTCAACATATGGAGGTTCTAGTCTCCAAAGAGGAGCAGGAACCCTTCATGTTAACAATAGTATAAGGATGTGATTCAGTGGTGACTCAAACTATCTCCAGCCTTGGGGTCAACATCATGAAGAGAAACTAAGAGGTAAAGAAAAAAGATCCATGGCATAGATGATTGAGTAGCCACTTGATGACTTGTTCATATGAAAACTTCCTAAGCAATAGTTTCCCTGTAGAGGAGTTATGAAATCAAGCCAATAGGCCAAACAATTAAAGAGTTCTCATTTGAAAGTCATCTGCATTTTTCTCTTGCTTATCACCTGACCTCACCATTAAACTGAACAAAGAGTAGGAAAGGAGATACACACGTGGGCATTTAATAGTTGATTATACATCTCTACTTGAAGTTTGAGAAAATTCAAGCACATGGATAAAATAGTAAAGATGATAATTCGTATCATCATATTTCAGAAGTTCTTGTGGGAAAAAAGACATAATATACAAAAGCATGACTTGTCACAAGTTTGCAGACTTAGCTTTTGCTGTGACCATATGGTTACAACAGCCTTCTCACCATTTCTCAGATTTTACTGACTCTCCAGGTCAAGAAATGTCAATTCTTTGGGAATGCACTATGTCAAAGCCCACTCTATTCTTCAGCGACTTTACTCAAGTGAGGCTCTTCAGGAAGATCTCCCACAATGTACCTGAACCAAAGTGGTCACTCGGCCCTACTCACGGAGCCCTATCACTTAGTGCTTATCACAGAGCACACGATCCTCTTCTATTTGTGTTTACCTTTTCCCCTTTCTTACATGAGCAATTGCCATGCCCTCATCATATGTTAGTCCCTAAATGTCTTATATTTTTAATAAACATTTTAATCTATACATACATTCTCTGACATATATCTTACTCATCTTGCATCTCTTTCTACCTAGGTGTGACCATGGGCAAATTACTCACAATCTCTCTGAACCTCCACCTTCCTTATCAATGAGGAAGTATACAGATATATATACACACATACACATATAAATGTATTGCCTAATGTTATTATCACCACATTATTATTTTATAGAACTATCTACTAAAGTATTTTATGAAAGTATGTTTAGAATATACAGGAAATACATGGTTGCACTGCTCATAAAGAGGAATATGCTGTCTCTAGATTTATTTTACTTTGTCATAAACAATCAAACAGAAAATAAATGGGCACCTCTAACTTCAGTTTGACATCTTCTTTTGTCTTAGAAATATAGTCTAAACTGGAGATGGCCGACTCCACTCCACTACAGTATTGCCCATAAATAACCAACCTGAAGGAAAAAGGAGAGAGAGAAACTCGTAAGGAGAAAAAAAAAAAGAAAGAAAGAAAGAAAGGCAGAATTTTCATCTTTTATAAACCACCGTTAAGGAGAATCAGACAAGTAATAGAAATTGCTTTTAATACTCACCACATAGACGTAGGTGAGGGTCACTCACATTTACAGGAATAAAAATAACTAATTTTCAGTTCCAAATTTAAATGACATCAATTCTGGGTACATTTTCATAGCAGGTAGATTTTACAAATTGGCACAATGACTATTAATGTTCATTGTGTACACATACATGTATCTCAAAAATAAAACTGAAAATTTCTAGTTAAGCCCTTGTTATAGATAAGCTTCTTGCTGTTTACTCGCAGGCAGAAATAGTTTGATTTGCTACAACAATTTTATTGCAATCACTACTTACGCCTCCACTCATTAATAACCCTCCTCCTACTCCTTCCTAGTTTTTAATTAAGAAATATATATGATAAGAAAAGTGGGAATGAGGGCCCTGAACTCTGCTGGTAAGAAGATAAATCACAATGCATGGAGCTGAGCCTACTTCAGGAGGGGCATCTCTGTGGTAATACAGACATTTCACCAAGAGTCTGGTTGGTCTATCGTTTTTATTAATGCTCCACTGCAAAAAGTTACTAATAAGATATTAATGTTTACCTAAGAGCTGGTGAAAAGCAATTCATTAGCCACTTTTTAATCAGTATTAGGAAACGTATTGCTTAATTTTAAGAAAAAGAACTATTTTTAAAGGAAAATTCCTTGATATATCAATTCCTGTGCATTGTTTGAAAGGTTTAGATTGCCTAATGTTATTATCACCACATTATTATTTTATAGAACTATCTACTAAAGTATTTTATGAAAGTATGTTTAGAATATACAGGAAATACATGGTTGCACTGCTCATAAAGAGGAATATGCTGTCTCTAGATTTATTTTACTTTGTCATAAACAATCAAACAGAAAATAAATGGGCACCTCTAACTTCAGTTTGACATCTTCTTTTGTCTTAGAAATATAGTCTAAACTGGAGATGGCCGACTCCACTCCACTACAGTATTGCCCATAAATAACCAACCTGAAGGAAAAAGGAGAGAGAGAAACTCGTAAGGAGAAAAAAAAAAAGAAAGAAAGAAAGAAAGGCAGAATTTTCATCTTTTATAAACCACCGTTAAGGAGAATCAGACAAGTAATAGAAATTGCTTTTAATACTCACCACATAGACGTAGGTGAGGGTCACTCACATTTACAGGAATAAAAATAACTAATTTTCAGTTCCAAATTTAAATGACATCAATTCTGGGTACATTTTCATAGCAGGTAGATTTTACAAATTGGCACAATGACTATTAATGTTCATTGTGTACACATACATGTATCTCAAAAATAAAACTGAAAATTTCTAGTTAAGCCCTTGTTATAGATAAGCTTCTTGCTGTTTACTCGCAGGCAGAAATAGTTTGATTTGCTACAACAATTTTATTGCAATCACTACTTACGCCTCCACTCATTAATAACCCTCCTCCTACTCCTTCCTAGTTTTTAATTAAGAAATATATATGATAAGAAAAGTGGGAATGAGGGCCCTGAACTCTGCTGGTAAGAAGATAAATCACAATGCATGGAGCTGAGCCTACTTCAGGAGGGGCATCTCTGTGGTAATACAGACATTTCACCAAGAGTCTGGTTGGTCTATCGTTTTTATTAATGCTCCACTGCAAAAAGTTACTAATAAGATATTAATGTTTACCTAAGAGCTGGTGAAAAGCAATTCATTAGCCACTTTTTAATCAGTATTAGGAAACGTATTGCTTAATTTTAAGAAAAAGAACTATTTTTAAAGGAAAATTCCTTGATATATCAATTCCTGTGCATTGTTTGAAAGGTTTAGAAAGAGAAACTGACTTTGACTATGACTCTAATATTCCAAAATATAGAAAAGTAAATTGCAGGTGGAAGAAGCATTAGGTATCTGCAATCTACCCTTAACATATACTGGTGGGGAAAGAGGCTCAGAGAGTTAAAATTATTTTCTGAGGATTATCACTAATAATAAGGCCTGTAAAAGAACTTCAGCCTTTTGATTCGAGATGCAAAAGTCTGAGCACTATACAGGATCCCTCTTTTTTCCTCATTCGACTCATTCATTCATTTTTTTTTTTTTATTTATGACACACAGAGCTTGAACTACTACCCTGAGATTAATGTCCCCATTTTCTAATTACTACCCAGGTATTATTATAATAAACAGTATCAATAGCTGCTTAGCTATTTTAATACAAACTCTTGCCGTAATTACAAACTAATATTCACGAAATGTAAACATTACCTTTCCTTGTAGTTAATGAAAACTTGATACAAGTTCTGGTCATTCTTATTTACAATGGAATCATGAATCTCTTGCATTAGGCTCCGATGAACTTTTACAAGTTCCTTAGAAAAGAAAACAGTGTGAAAGGAAAGTAGCAATCAGAACCAAAAAAAATACACCCCAAACCTATAATCCCTATTATTCTGTGAGTTGCCACTCAGGATATGCTGAATGTTCTCAGTATACAGACCTGTTGCCATCAGTAAAGAGAGGAGGAAACGGAGGAGGCAGGGGTTGGAAAGAGAGGAGGAGAAGGTAAGGAGGTTGGAGAGGATGAGAAAGAAAAGGGGAAAGAAGAAAAGGAAACAAGAGAAATGAGAAGGAATGAGAGGAAGAAAGAGGCCCTATACATGGGAAATAGCAATTTCAGATCTGACTTGAAATATCAGTATCCTACAAAAAAGAGAAATTATCTCACTACTTATTAAAGGATAATTTATTCTGTGTATAAAAACAGGTATGGCTCATTTTCATTTTCTAATTACTATAAATTTTTAAATAAAACTATTCAAGTGCTTAATGTTTTATTGACAGAATAAAGTAATGATTCATGTCCTTGGAACACAGAAATGTAGATTTGTTCTTTGGTCAATTAGTTGTGTCCTGGTGCTAAGCTAACAATAATCAGACTAAATTACTCGAAACCAGACAACTAATGGCATAAATAAGCTAATAAATTGTACTGGATAGTTTACTATAGCAGTTCAAAAGCCAGAATTTCAGTTTTCCTGATAAGTAATTTTCAGTCAGGCAGTAAGTACATGACACAGGAATGAGGAAACTTGAACCCAAGTGCCAATCCCACCAGTATCTCTTCTTCTGACCCCTGGAGCATACACTGACTCCACACCATGCTCTTTCTTTGGTAGGATGAAAATTAAACGTGAATATGTCAGTCCTCATTTTATTGAGGAGCATAGAAAAGCCATAATACTAAGCAATATCATATGGGTTTAAGTTACAGTGACCCTATCTTAGTGGTTCAAGATTCCTATTCACCTAGGATTTGCAGGTTGTTTTATGCTTAATCTTCATCTGATCCCTGAGCATCTTCTTTCTGTTATATCACACATCAGTGAGAATGTCTTCACTTGGCCAAATTCAGGAATAAGGACAAAATGCCACAGCTTAACAACTAGTGCTCATCAACACAAAACAACAAAATAAAAATATAAGGGACTTTTCAGGTGATACAAGCAAGCTTGCACATAAAAGCTTGTACTAAAGAAAAAAAAATGTGTGTGTGCATATCAAGCAAAGAAAATTCTACAGTTCTAACAACCTAAATCTTGTCTAGCATGACCTCACTTTGCATAGCATCTAGGTTGCTATGAGATTTCTTTGCAAATATCCTTTCAAGATTGTTGGTAAGGTGCCCGGAAACTTGAAATGCTTACATAAATGTGAAGAAAATCTCCTCACATTTTTCCATTAAGACAATATGTTAAACTATAAGAAAATAGTGTTAAGAAAATAGTGTATTTCAGAAATGTAAGCCCAGGTTGATACAACTAGAAGATGAAAGTACCAAAGAGCAGAGGCCAAGGAAGAAGAGGAATTATGGGAAGCAGAGGAAGCTGGTGTGGTCAGGACAGTGTTTTAAGAGAGGTCAGAGGGGCTGGAAGACCAACAGAGCAGGGAAGCAGGGGACAGAGGTGACCCCCAGAAGACAAATAGAGGGCATGAGGATTATTTAATGGAGACTACCTCATCATAGCAGTTAAGACTCGTGCATGAATCTTACTTATCCATTTGACTGACTTTAGTTGAAGATGTGATATGTCAGTTATAAAGTTGTTGGGACAGTCATGAGTATTGTTCTATGTTTTTCCATGCAAAAATGTGTCATGACTTTCCCAACAACACAATATTTCAAGAAACTAAGGGTATAAGAACTTGGAACACAAAGGATAGGGTCAAAATTCTTAAAGATACATTAAGTGTTAAAATAGGGATCTGGAATCCAGTAAGAAAAAGAGGATTTCACAGAAGTACAGTCCAATTTTATCTAGTATATTTTTCACTTACAGGAATGTTGATGAATACTGAATCAAATTCAGCTGCTGTCAGAAATCGTTTCAGTGGAGCCATGAAATACTACCAGGAGAGAAGAAGGAAGTAATAATTAGCATATCTTTTCCTAATCTTTAGAATAGTATTTTTTTATTCAACAAACAGTAAATATGTGTTGGAAGTCAATTGTTTATCAGGATTATGAATAGCAAAAAAGTAAAACAAATTTCTCCACCTTAACAATTTTATATTCGAACAGAGATACCAAGACATAAATACAAGCTGGTACAAAGTACAGGATAAAAAGTTTAGACAAAAAATGTTTCTAAAAGAAAAAAGAGGACATTATTGGTTAAATTGGCAAACAATGGCAATATTTTAGAGATATGTTTGAGCATTTAAACTTCTATAAAATATCCTCCAGGTGCTTTGTAAAAATTATAGATACCTGAGATCAATTATTAGTTTACTTATGGAATTTACAGATCATTCCCCTTCATTCGTTGAGAATGCCGTTCTTGGTCTACCATGTCTTTCCTGGCCTACAGGATCTCTTTCATTCTTTGTAATCTCAGTATCTGTGAAAAGATTTTTCCCAAAGCCCGGCCTCTCAATTCCTTGACCTCCAATAACTCTGAGCTCAGCTCCTGAATCGTGTGATTACACCTTAAGGCCTTGCCATTATCAACAAATCTATGAGCTATACAGCATTAATGTCAAGTAGCCATTCTCTCATCATTACCTCCTCCATTTTAATCAAAGCTCATTGCTTTAAAGAATTCTTCAGTGGCAGTGGGTCTGACGAACCACATCCTTCATGTCCCTCGCTCCCTTCTTACCAGTTTCCACTCTATGAACTATCCTCAGAATCACTTCCCTGCACATACTCTTGCTCTCTCTCCTTCCATTATGCTTTTATAGAAAAATTTAAACCCTTGTTAATTTTAGCCTGCCGCATAGTTTGTGCCTATATCTAAGAAGGTAAGCATGGACTACACTGATGGTATAATTTTAAATATGACCACCAAACTGAACTGGACCTGTCTACACTGTCCTACATTTCCTTATTCAATCTACTCTCCACTCCCTTAAATGACTCTTCCACACCTTCACTCTCTTGCTAAACTTTCAAAACTTTCTCCTGGTCCTCATTTTCCTAACCTCTAAATGTCATCAGACATGGCCTTAAACCTATTTTCCTGGGATGTTCTTATTTCATTCCCATGGCTGAAAATACCATTGTGTAATGACAGTGTCTCAATTTACTTGTTGATTCTACCATTAATGCTAGACTCATATGCCTAACGCCCTACTCAGTCAGTATATCTTCTTGGAAGTCTAATGGGTACAACAGATTCAATATGCCCCCAAAGATTCATGATTCCTAAACCTGCCTTCCCCTCTCAGTAAACAGTTTCATCATTCATGCAGCTGCTCACACCTGGAAGTCATCCTTGAGTCTTCTCTTTCTCTCACATCCCTTACTCTAATCCATCATTAAATCTGATTGGCTCTACTTGTAAATTTTACTGAGAATCTGACCACTCCTTACCACTTCCATCAATACCACTGATTTCTATCATCTTGATTATTTTAATAGCCTTCCAGTTTTTCTCCCAGTTTCACCTTGGAGTCACAAGAACTAGAATAAAACGGTAAAGACTTAAATCACACCATGTCACTTCTGCTCAAAATATCCGAGCTTCCCAATGTCTATACAGGATGGTGGCCCACCAGCTCTCTGCCCTCAGCACTGACTCCCCTTCACTCCTGCTCCAGCCACACTGAACTTCTGCTGTTCTTTGAAGCATGCACTGAATGCTTACCCATCTGAGGGCTTTCTGCCAGCAACTATCTCCACTGTGATAATTACATGGCTAGAACCCTTGATTAACTCAGCTACCTGCTTAAATGGGGGCATACCACAGAGGCCTTGCACTCCCACTCTATAAAGACCACCAGTGCTCTCCCTATCACTCACGACCCCTTTTTCCTCTGCCTTATTTTTCTTCAGAGACCTTATTACCACCTGACATACTTGCTTACGTTCCAAACCCTCACATAAGAGAGAACGTGCCAAGAGAACAAGAGTCTTGTCTCCTCAGTCCCTGGAAACACTGGTAAGAGGTGCGAGAAAATCAATAAATAGTTGTGGAATAAATTTGCTTTGAGATCTTTAAATCAAAGGTCTACTGAAAATTAGAATATACAGAGACATCAGCAGAATCAGAGTCTGACACATTAACTACAAAAGCCAGTATTTGAGCATCAAGCATAATATCTGATGACTTACTTTTTCTATGGACTCCAAAGTTTCTGTATATTTTTCTTCTGTCTGTTTAATTTCTGCTAGGCAACAGCTTCGTATGTCATTTTCTAGACATTTCTGTGGTTAGAATGATCAAAATAAAATTATTCATTCAAATTTATATATTAATCTATAGTAGAAAGATTTCAAAATCATATCTGATTTTCTTAAATTTTCCTTTCTGATAAAACACATAACTAAGAGACATATTTAAGTGCATTTATGAAGTTCTCTTGCTGTTCTTTCTCTTTTTTTTTGAAGTGTTAATGATGTTCATTATCTAAATGTTTTAGATAATTCAAAATAAATTTCTGAGTATAGACACCCTCTTTAAATAAAAACATCTCTGTTAATTTAACTGGAAACACCACAAATGATAAAGATAGTTTCCGTGATATACAACACACTTCAAAAGTATTAGAGAAATAACTGCAAAAATAATAAAAGAATATTTGCTAAGTAAAAACCGTCTAACATATTTTCAATGTGACCATCTCAGTGTCTGGCTCTCTTGCAAAATATTTAAGAAGGGAAGTTGTAGAGCACAATACAAAGACTGAAGAGTCTAGGATTTGATTGAGCTGGGTTCAAGTACCAGTTTTGTTGTTGTTAGCTTTGTAATAGAGAACAAATTATTAAATTTCTTTGTAACTCAGTTTTCTCATTTGTAAAACAGAATTGCGGCGCTGGCCTCAAAGAGTTCTACGTGAGATAAGCCATGTGAAGCACTTAGCACCTTGCCAAGTACATAATCCACTAAATAATTAGTTCTGTTTTTGTTAGTTTGTTTTAATTTGCTGGAGAGTATATACACATGCTAAAGATGGGTGCAGGGCATAGGAAGCATCCCTCATGGGGCATAGTCATACCAAAATCCCTTCTCCTCCAGCTCTCCCTCTTCTCTGGATGTTGGGCATCTATGCACATGTATCCAGCACCACTGGGCCCAGGACTTGAACTACAGTCAACCAGCCATGTGGGATCTAGCCACCTTAACCACTAGGCCCTGGGCTGGCCCTATTATCGAGTCATTGGAAAAGTCATGACACATGAAACATTTTTGCAAAGACAACCAGAAAAATACGTCATGACTTTTCTGACAACCCAATAAATCCTGCCCCGAATAAACAACCCAGCTCCATCAGCTGAGTAAAGACTGTCTTTGGGAGGCAATGATGTGTTGGTGCCCAAAATAATTGACGATAATAAGAGTACAGATAATACTGTGTCACCTAAAAATGCTCTGAAAATGCTGCCACAGATGGCCTATCAGCTCATGCAGTGGGCTAGAGCACACATTCATTCCATTTACCTAACACGGAAAAGTCTTTTGCTTCCATCATGCAGAAGCCCAGGCGGTGGACAACTCCCCAGCCTCTTATTAAAGGTAAGAACAGAGAGAACTCTGAACAAATGCATCAAAGCACAGAAAAAAGCTAACTCGCCCCCCAGCTGAAGAGCCAAGTCTTTAGTATAAAAGAACATATCAATGAAAGCCTAAGAAACTGACCTGTTTTGCCTCAAATTACAGGTGAGAAAATAATTCAATGTAACGTTTTTAAATTTCTAGATATATTCATGGTAATTAAAGTTTCAGAGGCTCATATTGACTATGACAACATCTGAAACTAATTTTATCAAACAGCAAAAAAAGGTGAGGAGACTCACAATGACACAAAAGTACTTGATATCAATGCCTAACCGATGTGAAGAAATATTCTTTAATATATGTTTCATCTGGCATCAAGTGTACAGAAAAATATTTACCTGCTTTTTGAGGAAATATTTACTTTCCTAATAGTATAATTTCATGATTCCCTGAAATATATTCCATTGCCACTCTGCCACTGCTTAGCTGTGTGGCATTTCATGTATCTCTCAGACTTGGTTTCTGTACTAGTAAACTGAAAGGACTGGGGCCAGATCATGGTGCGGTGGTGACGGTGGCTGGATCTTACATGGGCAATTGTACTCTTCAAGTCCTGGACCCATCTTAAAAGAAAAAAAAACACTGGGCACATGTAAACAAACTTCTGATAGATAAGAAGATTGTGGTATGGCCATCCTTCTGGGGAGTGCCTTCTCACTTTCCCACTCTCTCTGGCAACTACATCTGCCCTTTAAGAAATCTTTTAAAACAGGAAGAAAAAATAAATAAAAGGGTTAGACCAGAGATTCCCTGTGGGTGTTTTGAACCATAAAACACCATGATTGTGTCTCCAAATGCAATACTAAGTCAGAGTTATATAGTTATAAACAAGTATGGAGAAATAAAACTTATTCCAGCAGAGGTTACTAATTAATTAGTCATTAGTCTTTTAAGTAATCACTTTCCTAATAAAATATGCAGAGTAACATTAAAAAAAAAATCAAGTAAAAGTCTTACGGATTGATGGGCTTCCTCTGCTTTCATTAAGTCTTCATAGACTTCTCCACCTTCGTCTTCCCCATAAACACAGTCATAGAGATCTTCTTCATCGTCCACACGGGTCTCACTAAACCACAGGACACAGTGCAAAAGTCTATTAGGCAGTAAATACAATATCTAGAAATAACCTACTGGGTTTTAGTAGAAAAACCCATGGAGAAAATAAAATGGATTTAATAGAAGGAGTCATAAGGCTTGCAGAACAGCTCTGCCCCTGCTAAGAACAATGGTAACAAACAAAAGGATCCAACAATGAGGGCTGTGGTGGCTAGTAGCTAACATGGACTGGGTATTTGCATATAAATGATCACTCTGCCTACATTATCTCACTTCATTCATCCAGTATTAACTGCCTTATCAGGTATGCATTATCATTGGACTCACTAAAGAGATAAGGAAATTGAGGGCATTGGTAAAATGCAGTGCTCCTTGAGGCTGACCCATCTGGCAAGGTTCCAGGTTTATGCTCTGAGAGGGTCAGAGACAAAGAGATATAAAGCAAAAACTCATCCCCCAGTGGGGATGGCCATGCTGCAATCCCTTCTCCTATATTCTCTTTTCTGAATTTTGGGCTGAGGGTGCCTGGCCAACACAAGCCCATGATCCAGGGACGGCTGCAGTGAATCATGGCCGCAAAGCCTTGCTGGGGGTACTGTCTGTCTTTCCATCCTGTTTTCTCTTTCTTATGGAAGAAATAAAACTTAAAAAAGAGTGAGAGATGAAAAAGTTGAAAGACAAAAAGGTTTTTTGACTTGTCAATGATAACACAGGCAGTTGATGGCAGTCAGGATTTAAAACTAAGTCTGGGGGCCAGCAGATGGCATAACGGTTAAGTCACTGGACTCCCATGTAGTCAATCGCTGGAGTCCCAGACCCGGTGGCTTAAAACTCACACTGAGTATGTGTGTGTGTGTGTGTGTGTGTGTGTGTGTGTGTGTGTGTCCAGAAAATCCTGAAAGAGTATAGGAGAAGGGATTGCAGCATGGCCATCCCCACTGGGGGATGATTTTTTTCTTTTTATCTCTCTGTCTCTGACTCTCTGGCAAGTACATGTGCCCTATAGCAAAAATCTCTCTCAAAACAGAAACAAAAACAAAAAAACATGTCTGTGTTATAGCATCTCAACCACTCTCTCATACTGCCTCCTGTCCTCAGTTTCATCACCTGTATTAAAAAGTGTAATATGGAGGGACTAGCAGTTAGTGTAATGGCTATGTTGCTGGACTCCCATGTAGTCGACCATGGTTCGCTTCTCAGACCTGGTGGCTTAAAACTCACGCCAGGTGCGTGTGCATGCATGCCCAAGATCCCAAGAGAAGAATGGAGAAGGGATTGCGGCATGGCCATCCCCCCGGGGGGTGATTTCTCGTTTTCTTTCTATCTGTCTCTCTCTGTCTGGTGAGTGCACATGCCCTATAGCAAAAACCTCTCAAAAAAAAATAAAAAGTATAATATGGAGAAGATAGGAGAACTTGGAATATCTATTACGATATGGTATAAATGGTCTTTTGAAAACATCATATACTTTAGAATTATTATCACTCTCTAATACTGTGGTTTTCAAATCATGCTTCAAGCCCACATAGAGATTTCCACAAGTCCCTGTTCAACTAGACTTGGCATTTAGCTGTTTTGTTTGCATTTTGCTTAAAGAAAGGTCCCCCTAGGCCACAAAATATTTTAAAAATCAATTTAAAATCTTCTGCAGGTATCCTGGAAATGAGATAATTACTGTTTTAAAGCCCTCATGAGCGCTTACACAGTGACAGACTGGAGTGTCCTCCCCAATCCCCTCACCTGAGACTATAACCTGCTCAGTCAGGCTGGGAACAGTGTGTTCCACTTACTGTCTGTTGTGCTTCCCTCCTTTAAGAACTCCATAAATCCCTCCTATTAATTAATAACCCTAAAGTACTGTGATTAGCCAATATAGGTATGCTACACATAAGTATTTTCATCTCTCAGAAAGAAATTCAACTTCAGTATACTAGCCCTTAGGATCTCTCCTGTGCAGAAATTCAGCTTCAATAACTCTCCTGAGCCTGTGCAGATGGGACATTACAAACTGAAATGTACAAGAATAAAAACACTATAATTACAAATGCCCCCCCCCGCAACCTGAAACATTTTTCAAAGCAGGGACAACAATCACAGCATTATTTATATTTATCATGAAGGATTATTTTGAGGTATTGACAGGAACGAATTGTCAAACACTCAGAGAAAAGGAAGGTATATTAAAGGAGGTGTTCTGGTGGTAATAGAAGTTTCAGAGAACTCTGCTCTGAGAAAAATTCACTCCAGAGTTACTTGTCTACTCGACCACCCATTCGTGCATCCAGCAGATACTTACTAAGAACTTACTAAGTTCCAGGCTCCTCAGAGCTACAAATGTGTAGATCACAAATTCTCCCGTAGTCTAGCATGGAATACGGCACATAAACACAGAATTCTGTATATGTGCAACAAAAGAGATGAATACAAAATACAGAAGCAAAGAAAAGAGTAAAAATTACTCTAAGGAAGCCAGGGAAGTGTTCATGGAAGATATTACATCTGAGTGGGATCTTGAATATATTTGTCGATCTATTCTACAGGTATTTCCATAAAGTCTACATCCCAGGAGATATGACTGCACACTAGGCAGCCACAGTTTCTGTTCTCAAGAAACGTAAAGCCCAAAGGGGTGACATGCACCAAAGGAGAAAAGGGGAAGAACATTCCAAATAAAAGACACGCCTGGCAATGAGAGGCCTGGCACCCCATGTGCTGTGACTGGTGAGTGGACAGACACCTGGAAGAAACACTTGACACCACACTTCAAAGGGCCACGCAGCCTGTGAACTCGGCCTTACTTGCTTTTTTGTTACTCTGCATGGGCATCTGGGAGTCAGCAGGTGTTTTAGACGGGGTAGTCTGGCAAGGCAAGAAGACATGCAGGGAGATAGGTTTAAGCCAAGAGTGAAACACCATGGGTGAGAGTGGGCAAGAGCCATCACTAGGATAAAGCAAATGAGAAGAGGAACAGAGAGCCTCGGAAGACTGTAGACCAAGCTTGGTGATCAATGCAAGCAGGGAGTAAGGAAACAGGAAGGATGCCTCTCAGTTCTCTACTGCAGAAAACTGGAGAAAGGGTGAGTCATACGGGCAGTTCCGGAATTCCCGTGTTCAGGGGGTAGGCAGGTAATCTGGCCAGAGAACAGTGGGGCAGCAACATCAGCCTGAGCACTTTTTGTAACACAACAAAGGACTGGAAGGTCTGGTGAGTCTGTGAGGGAGCTGATTAAGACAAACAACAGAGGACCGAGTTCTGCATTAGCGGGGTCCGTTTCAGGAAGATGGATGGAGCCATCTCACTGGCTCTCCTAATCCCAGCACTCCTGCCTCTGACCCCTCCCACCACCCTGCACCTCAAAACTCAGTCTCGCTGAAGTTCTGCATTTTCCATGATAGTAAAGACACCATTTACATACATCCACGCAGACTTTACTCAGAATTGTAGAAGTGACACATCACTATATACGTGTGTGCACACAAACACATGCATGCACATACAATTGGGATAGAACCGATTGGGTTTTGTTATTCGATCCCATACTAAAGACTTCTTTTTTATTGACATTTTGATCAACAATTTCTGATTTCTGAGGCAGGGAAAGACGTAATGGCCTTCAAATGGTCATTAAATCAACAATAATCTACTGGAATGTCAGAAAAGTCATGATGCAGTTTTACATAGAAAAACACGTGATGACTTTTTTGATGACCCAATATATTAGCGTTCCTGTGTTCAGGCCACCTAAACACAGGCAAGTCTGATACTCTGATAATAACATTAGGGTAAAGCTTAGCAGTCTTACACCCTCTGCACTCCATCCTGCGAATTTCTCTAATGAAGAGAGAATGATCCCTCCATAAGTAGGAGGGCAGGCTTCAGATGAATTCACCCCAAAAGTTAGAATTAAGTACATGAGCCTAAAGAAACTGTAACAGAACTAAGATGTAAAATTAAGCTGTCAAAACTCAAAACCAGGCAGTTGTCATTCTCTGACAGTTGTCCACCCACATGCCTAAAAGGTCCATTTCTGCCCTAGTACAAATTTTAATTTTTTTATTAACACTTTTCTGTTCCTACCAAACAAATAAAACCTCAAAAGCAAGCACTTCCCGGGATAACACATTTGGACCTTCAACCAACAACCAGGTGGAGAGTTAAATCAGACTGCATCTCTCTCTGGTATCTCAGAGCAACTAATCTAAGATCCAAAGATTTCTCCAAATTTAGCTATAAAGGCATCCTCACAAGATTTGTCCTGACATTAACGCTGCCAAAAAAAAAAAAAAAAAAAAAAAAACAAAAGACAATGGGAAAAAGCTATAAAAATTAATAAGTGACCATTGGCATGGTTTCTAAAAGAATACCATTTTCACAGCACCTAAAAAATAATAACTTCCTTCCTAATGCTTTAAAGACGCCGATAACAGTATCAATAACCTTGCAATGACTTTATGAAAGTTATAGTTAATTCCATAAGACTATCTCTATCTTTGCTTAACATCAGTGAGTTCTTGGATTTTAAGAAGAGATAAGAAATGATTGTTACTAGATATGTAAAATATAAGACTTCAAGGTCATACCAAATGCCCCCAACTCTGGAGAGAGCTGCCCACCCTCATTCCACATTTGCCTCCTCTGCTCTTCCGCTGAAAGCTCTTAGAAGAGCCTGCCAGGGCATAGCTGCGAGTCAACACAGTGATTAAGAGCCTCTGCTCTAGGGACCAGCAGTTGGCAAAATGACTATGACACTGGACTCCCATGTAGTCGACCGTGGTTCAAGTCCCGAACCTGGTGGCTTAAACTCATACTGGGCATGTGTGTGTGCGTACCCAAGATCCACAGAGAATGGAGGAGAAGGGATTGTGGTGTGGTTATCCCCCCTAGGGGGTGATTTCTCGCTTTCTGTCTCTCTGTCTCTTTCTGTCTTTCTGGCAAGCACATGTACCCTATAGCAGAAACCTCTATTTAAAAAAAAAAAAAAAAAAGCCTCTGCTCTAAAATAAGAACTGTGTCAGTTTAAATCCAAAGACTTGTTTTCCAGTGATATTACCTGCAGCAAGTTTCTTGGCTTTTCAAAATGTATTTTTCTCATTTGTACATGGTAACAGTGGTAACAACCTAATAATGCCGTGGCATTACACGGGGTGTACATAGCACCCAGACATACTCAGAGAGCCTGTGGTACTCACTGACTGGAGCTTCTATGCCTGAAGCTAATGCCTGGCCAACAGTGGACGCTTTCAACCTACTCCGTTCAGAAAACAAGTATCTACTGAGGTCCAGACACTGTTTGAAATCCTAGGAATCCAGCCATGAACAAGGTGAAGTCCCTGGCCTTATGAAGTTCACCTTCCAATAAGGAAACCGACAGTACATGAAACAAACCTGGATTTGTATACCATGAAAACACAGAGGAAGGTAAGGGGCAGTGGCAATTTTAGAGCACTCAAGGAAGAGCTCTCTGTGAGAGACATCTGAGCAAAGACTTAAATAATGAGGGATTCAGTCATACAGACATAAAAAAAAAAGCAAGTTTCTTCTGGTCCTAAAGCAAGAGCAAGCTCAGTGTGGAAGGCGCATTAGGGTAGATACATGGATGAATGGGTGAATTTCTACAAAATCTGAATCTATCTTAGAGCATAAACTACTATGGTTCTTTACAAACATGCCTGATCTATGTCATCCATTCCATGAGGAGGAGAATCGTGTTTTGTATTTATCTGTAAACTGTACAGATCTTTAATCAGCAGAGGATAATCAGCTATAAGGGCTTTTTTTGCCTCTGATAACTATTAAAGAACAAGGCCTGAAAGCATTCTCCATTTGAAATAAGCACCACCTCCCGGGACCAGCAGTAAGCATAATGGCTATGTTGCTGGACTCCCACGTAGTCAACCACGGTTTGAGTCCCGGACCTGGTGGCTTAAAACTCATGCCGGGCACATGTGCATGCGTGCCCAAGATCTCGAGAGGAGAATGGAGGAGAAGGGATTGTGGCGTGGCCATCCTCCCTGGGGGGTGATTTCTCACTTTCTGTCTCTCTGTCTGTCTGGCGAGCGCACGCGCCCTATAGCAAAAGCATCTCAAAAAAAAAAAAAAATACCACCTCCTTCATAATTTCATCCCACATTCATCTCATCCTTTCTTGAACTTATAAAACATGTATGATCTGTCCTACAACTCCAGTAATAGATTCTGTTTCATTTGAACTGTTCCCCAATTGTCTAATTTCAGTTTTATCTACGATTTCCATTATGCCTTTAAGAAACTTTCACATTTTATTTCCCTGCAAAATGTTTCTTTACTCTTTGTAGGAATGCATACGTGAACTAAAATCCAGTCGAAGTACATTTCCTTGTAATGTTTTTCAACACCAGTACAGGTTTAAGGTTAATTCTTACATGTCTTAATCATTAAGCCACTTTCCCCCTTTAAACAGCTTATTTAACTCCCACAGTTAAAACCCATGATGAATGCCAAAATTGGCAATAGCTTCATTTTACTGAAAATGTTCAACATACTCTATTAAGTCAGGAAGGCCTTTGTAGATGTCTTCATCATTAACACTTTCTTCTGTTGGAAAGGGCCTGGGAGGGGAGAAAAATGAAATGAGTGAATGAGCAATAACCAGACTGGCCATTTACCTCCCACTAAATATGTAAGCTCCTCTGCCGCCCGAATGATCAGGCCAGTCATGCCTAACGATGTCTAGGCTGCTCCCAAGCGTTTGCCCACAGGCTGAATCTGGGGATCTCCCAGAGGGACCCTGTAGCAGCTGCTATCCCAAACCACGTGCAGCAATTGCAGCTGGTCACCACAACGTGTGCAGCTGAAGACATGCCGGGGTGCTTCTCTGGTCTCCCACCTGCCCGATACCTGCAGCATCCGATTCAGAGAACAAATAGCCAGGCACAGGCTTTGCCTTCAGCACCTCCTCTTCCCAGCTCTGGGGTCTGATTTTACTGACAAGAATTCTGTAATATCGTCCTTCCAGGACTCAGTTCACTTGTACAGGTGAAAACAGCACAAGATGAAAGCATCCCACCCTTCATTTCCCATTACTGACACCGAGATACTTTTTCACTCATGCTTTAATGTATTTAAGTTTTTTGGTTTTTGGTTTTTTTTCATTTTCATGTATTAGACTAATGAGTCACCCAGGTCTCAAGAAAATTAGGGTGCTCCCCCATTTGAGAAAATCACAGTTTATCTCCAATCCAATCATTTGACTTCCTTGTTTGCCTCATGGTACTATGTAGTTTTTTTTTTATAACCAACATAATGGCCTAAGTTTAGGCATAATAAAACCAGAGTAATTATACCAGAGTAGTGAAAGTTTTACTCTTTCTTTTCAGCCAGCCAGTGTGTTACACATTTTACAAAAGCAAGAGGGTCTATCAAATAATAAATAAACTTTAAATAATTGCTAAATAAATCATAATGAAAAGCAGAGCTTCACATTGGTTTATGCATTCATAATCTACATAAGACATTCAAGATGCCTGCATCTTTCAAATAAATCAACAGCCATGGAAAATGTTGATGTTTCAAAATCATTTTTTAAATAAATGTAGGCATTTTTATACCAATATGTGTGCAAAAATTTGAAAATATAGATAAGAAAAATTTAAAAAGAAGGAAAGCCTTCCTGATATATAACCTTTTAGGATCAAAAATACATTAAAAACATGAAAATTAGGCCATGCTTCCTGGAAATCTGTCTACATATTAAAAAAAAAAAGTATAAGGGCATTTCAAACGTTCAAGGAAAATGGTATTACAGTAAGTTTGCTTTAGTGCAATTTTTTTTTTTAATGTCAGGTGGCACATATACACATCAGAGAGACAGTAAGAAAAAACAAGCACCCCTCCTTATCAGGGTCTAGTTATGCCATCATCCTTGTCCCTCCAATTCTCTGTCCTCTTCAGAATCCTAGATATGCACATGCCCAGTATAACTCTCAAGTGGCTGTGGCTAGGGCTCAAATCCTGGTCAGTCACCTGGGATTCAGCTTCCTCTCTACAGCACTTTAACCACTATTCTATAGAGCCAGCTCTGGTGGTAGAGGTGGGGGTGAGGGGAGGAAACAACTATAGCTTTGCATAGTTTTTTCCAGAATATCCATTTTCCATGAACTTTCTAAAGCCTGCCCTCCTCATATACATTAAAATAGAAAGATATTTAGGTGCTGAATAGCAAATGAGGTAGAGTTGAACATCTAGGCATCCTACAGACTACTTCTGTACAAAGCTGCCAAATTCCTGGCCCACTTTGAGAAGGATCTGCTGGGCAAACTCCCTGAGGTCATTCTGTTTTATACTCAGGCTCCAGGCTCCCTGCTCCCTCCTAAGCACAGGGACCCTCTCCCTTAAAAGGTGCATGGGAAGGACCAGCAGGTGGTATGGTGATTAAGGCACTGGACTCTCACATGGTTGACGGTGGTTTGAGTCCTAGACCTGGTGATTTGAAAGTCCTACAGGATGTGTATGTGTGCATGACCCAAATCCTGAGAGGAGAATGGAGGAGAAGAGATCCTGGCCCCTAAGAGATGAGTTCTCATTATCCCTCTCTGTGTCTCTCTCTGACGACCACAAGCCTTAAGGAAAAAAAAAAAAAGTACATGGGAGGTGAAGACAGAAAATGGAAGGTGGACACAGAAAATGGAAGTACAGAATCAGAGACACAGGCTCACAGAACTCCAAGAGGGCTGGAGACTGGGCTATGAAGCCTGTGGGAACAAGATAAAAATGAAACCTAACCCATTTCCATGTGGCCTGGCTGCAGCTTTCAAAACTGTTTTTCTTTATTTCCTAATGTCACTTATATTAATAATACATCTTTACCATCTGATCTAAATTAAGCATGTAGTACCTAAAGCAGAAAAAAACAAAACAACATAACCATGCTTGCTGACTGCACAATACTCATGGCAAGAAGATGGGAGCATTTATTTTATTAATTTATTTCTAAACTTATCAAACCTTCAACATACATCATTAAACATGCATATTATTTTAGACTATCTGATTATTTCTTAACCTCTTAAAATTTTGGGTTGTTGTTATGGTTTACTTCACAGAAAATACTGAACATACTACACTACTTTTACAATATGTATTTACATAAGAATTGATGTTTGTCATAATGAATCATATGTACAAAAGGAAGTTATAAAAATGAAAGCAGATCGGGAACCAGCAGTTAGCGTAATGGCTATGTCGCTGGACTCCCACGTAGTCGACCGCGGGTCACGTCCCGGACCCGGTGGCTTAAAACTCACGCCGGGCGCATGTGCGTGCGTGCCCAAGATCCCGAGAGGAGAATGGAGGAGAAGGGATTGCGGCGTGACCATCCCCTCTGGGGGGTGATTTCTCGCTTTCTGTCTCTATGTCTCTCTCTGTCTGTCTGGTGAGTGCACGCGCCCTACAGTGAAAATCTCTCCAAAAAAAAAAAAAAAATGAAAGCAGATCGAGGACACCACCAATGAAGTGAAAACAATAAGCCAATGTGTCTTATTCAACTCTCGATTAGATCTTACTTGTTCAATAAATTTCAAACATGGGCCCAGCCTGTATTATGGTGGCTAGGGCAGCTAGCTCCCACATTGCCAAGTGCATGGTTCAAGTCTCAGACCCAGTGGCTTGAGAAACACACAGGGTGCATGTGTGTGCATGCCCTAAATCCAAGAGAAGGGGTTGCAGTGTGACCACATTCCATCAGGGGTACTTTCTCACTTTCCTTTCTCTTTCTCTCTCTCTCTCTCCAGCAAGTATACACACCCTCTGTCATTTTTTTTTTAATTTCAAATGTGTATTGGGTACTTATATATAAGGCATTCTGTGTGACTAAGATGCAGTCTCTGTATGCAAGATATTTTGCAAACAATGACCATTCAATTATAACATGAGTATTCAAATTTAACAGGGCACAAGAAGCGCAAAGAAAAATCTTACCTGATCCCTGTGGCCAACGCTATAGGTGTGCGAGAAAGTCGGGATAATGCTTCTATGACCTGGGAAAAGAGGACAACATTAATGGGACATAGATTTCAAAAGAGAGAAAGTTTGCTTTCCAAAACAGTACTATTCCACCTTACATTAACAATGGCAATAGAAGCATACATTTGCAGATGCCAAAGGGTGGCATGACTGGGAAGTGTGAACACACAGATTATAATTGTATTCCTTTCTTAAACTTTAGGATTTGACCAGGTTACCATTACCAAACCATTTGAGTTGCAGTTTCCTTGGCAGTAAAAGAAGAAATTAGACCAAAGTGTATGATACCAATCATTTGACAGCTACTTCTACAGAATCTACAAGATCCTATTAAAGCTTTATCTTCCAATATACTAGCCATATGTGGCTATTTAGACTTAAATTAACATTTTAAAAATAAAAAGCTTAGTTTCTTAATTGCATTAGCCACATATTAATTACCCAGTAGCCACATACGACTACTGTATTAGACTATGCAGATCATCACACATTTCCACCACAGAAAGCTCTACTGAACAGCACTGCCATAGAGCAGACAAGTTTGGAGTGTAAGCTCTTGAGCCAAACCACACGAGTGCAAATCCTGGCTCTACCGTTAATTAGTCAGGTAGCTTCGTAAATTATTTAACTTCTCTGGGATTTAGTATCTTACATAATGTCTATAATGACAGGTAGATTATTAATTATAATTAGATGATTGTGAAGATGAAATAAGATAACACAAGTAAAATATTTAAATGGTAGATATTTATACTCACCAACTTTAAGGAAATTGCCTTATTATCATCATTCTAAGTATATTCAGGAAAAGTGTTTCCCTGAATTACCTCTGATCATCTGTTTCACAGATTCCTTATGAAAATCTTTAGTAATTAAAACTAACTGGGCCCAGCTACAGTTTTAGCATTAGTACCTAGCAATTTACTTTTTCTTTTTTCTTTCTGGAGAGGTTTTTGCTATAGGGCGCGTGCGCTCACCAGAAAGACAGAGAAAGACAGAAAGCAAGAAATCACCGCCCCCCCCGGGGGTGGCGGGTGGCCCCTGGGGGGAGGGGGGTGGCCACATTGCAATCCCTTCTCCTCCATTCTCTTCTCAGGAACTTGGGGCATGCACACTTGCCTGGCGTGAGTTTAAGCCACCGGGTCCGGGACTCAAACTGTGGTCGACTACATGGGAGTCCAGCAACATAGCCATTACACTAACTGCTGGTCCCCACAATTTACTCTTTCTTCAATCTTTTATACCTAAGCTCATACTTTCAAAGACTTGTAAAGAAGCCAATGACCTAAAATGTATTTTTCTCATAAAACCTGGTTTTATGATAACAGATATAATTTGTCCTCTCATAATTGAACAAAACAAAAACTAAAAGAGATTTTACTATAAGGCCTAATAAGAATGAGGGGGAAGGATCTCTGCGTTAAGATAATCTTCTAATTACTCAGCCTTTTGTCTAGTTTGTCTTTTAGTTTTTGTTTCTTGATGTGTGTGCTTGCCAGAAAGAGAGAGAGAAAGTGAGAAATCACTCCCCCAGGGGGATAGCCATGCTCCAGTTCCTTCTCCTCCACTCTTCCCTGGGGATTTGGGGCACAGAGGCACACATAGTCAGCATGATTTTCAAGCCACCAGATTCGGAATTCAAACTGTGCGGCTGGTCATGTAGGATCCAGTACCTTAACCTCCACACCACCTGCTGGTCCTCTAATTCCTCAGTTTAAAGACAGAAACAAAAAAGTAAATTCTCCAGTACTCTGCAGAAACCTCACAAAATATCCTGGCCACACATGTATTTTTCTGTTGCCTACTTCAGGAAGTAGTATGTTGTTGTGTTTAAAAACTCATAGTTCTGGAATACGAATACCTGGAGCCCAGATTTCAGCTAAGCTCACCTTAGTGTCTTTAAAATGCAGATAATAATAGCTAGATAGGGGCCAGCAGATGGCAAGGTGATTGGGGCGCTGGACTCCCACATGGCTGACTATAGCAGCTTGCTTTCTTGCTGTCCCTTTCTCTCTCTCTCTGTCTCTCTCTCTCTCTCTCGCTCTCTCATCAAATTAAAAAATAACAAATGGAATTATATAAATAATTATTTTAATAATAGCTAAATAACTACTTTATGGGGTTACTGAAAGAATTAAATGAGAAATGTCCATCCAATGCTTAACTCAATAAATGTGACCTTGGGGCCAGGCAATGATGTAGTGGTAACCTAACTGAGCCACATGGGAAAGGTCCTGAGTTCACATCCTGGGAACTCCCTGCACCAGTCACGTATGCATCTGCCCGTGTTCTAGGTCAGCTGAACAGGGGCTAGATCGCAGCATGAAGACTCTGTTAGGGGTCCTGGCCCTCAGAAAGAAATAAACTTTAAAATTGAAAATATGTAGAGTTGTAGAGGAATCAGATTGAGTTGAATTAACTTACACGGTGATTATAAGTAATAACAATGTAATGTTGAAAATTGTGAAAAGAAAAATGTGTTCTCATCCCCTGCAATGAAAAGTATGTGAGGGAATGCATATATAATTAACTCCATTTAGCCATTCCACAATGCATATGCATTTCAAAGCAAAATGAACACAATAGATACAAGTTTGGTCAATTCATTTATTTTAATTTTTAATTTTTTTATGTTTCACAAGCAAAAGAAAGGGAGCAGGATGCTTTCGGATGACTCACAGAGTTAACCAGCATGAGGAACATATGAGGAACATACTGAGTAGATGAGTGAGCTACTGACCTAAGCTAGTCCTACACTCTCACCCTGGCTCCTGCTATGACCCTCTGACAAAAAAGGAAAAAAAGAAAACAAAAAAGTAATTGAAAGACCCTATGAAACTTCTTCCTGGTTAACTGAATTGAACATCTGATATCAAAGGAAGACATGATCACTCAGAAAAAAATTGGTCTCTATTAATTCCCCATAATAATGTAAAGATAAAGCATCCCTAGTGAGTCTAGAAATTAAGAGGACCCCAAACGAACAAATACTAACAAGTGCATCCAGAAAAATGAACTCAAAAATAATATTCATAAACTGTGTATTACTGAGTGAAAAGTCTAGACTGTGTAAAGTGCTGGAATAATTTAGGCCCTTGGATTAACTACACCACTGAATTTTGGCACAACTTTAACCCAATGTAGCATGTCATAAAGCTACACAGTGAAATCTATCTCTGATCCTCTTTTACGCTGTGGTCCAGCCCTGTCACTACCCAGGAACAAGAAAAATATCAAAAGCATCACTATTGCCATGTATTTTATTATTGCTAGTTCATTATGCATTGTAATAGAAATGTGTATTTCTTGAGAAATTTTCTATGACAATTGTACGTTACAAACTAAGAATGCATTTTCTGGGACCAGTAGTTAGCGTAATGGCTATGTCGCTGGACTCCTATGTAGTTGACCGCAGTTCAAGTCTCAGATCCGGTGGCTTAAACTCACGCCGGGTGCATGTGCGTGCATGCCCAAGATCCCAAGAGGAGAATGGAGGAGAAGGGATTGCGGTGTGGCCATCCCCCCTGGGGGGTGATTTCTCGCTTTCTGTCTCTCTGTCTCTCTCTGTCTGTCTGGCGAGCACAAGCTCCCTATAGCAAAAAAACTCTCCTAAACAAAAGAAAAAAAAAAAAAAGAATGCGTTTTCTTTTTCTTTTCCCACCAACAATGAAAACTCCCACCCATGCCCTACACAGTCTATTCTCTCACATGAAAGTATATTTTGATTTCTTTTCAATGTCCACCAGAGGGAGCTAGAGGACAGGATATTCCTTTAGTCTTGACTTTAACATGTTAAGTACAAACATTTCTGGAAATCAAGAAGCTGAAACCAGCTCCTACTATTTATTCAAAAAGGATTACATTACCCTTAAGTATATAACAACAAAGGTACAAATTCAGTGGATGAAGAGAATGGAAGGACAGAATGCAGTGCATCATAAAATGAGTTTTTTTCTGAGACTGTCACTCACTTTTGAATCTATCTCATTGCACATCAAGTCCAATTATTAACTCTAAGTTTAGCCAATGCAAACAAAGACTGTTTGGCCGATGCTGTGTTTTTAGAACAATGTGCATTCTATAAAGGCAGAATGTATCTGGATTTGGAATAGACAACCATACAAATTAATGCCAGATTCTCAAATCCTCTGAGTGGAGACTCTGATGTGCTATTAGAAACATCCATTCTAGAACATTAACACAATAAAACATTCCCAGGGACATTAAGAAGATTGTTTTCCTTGCAATGAATTAATTTCTAAACTGTTACCTCAAAATAATATAAAATTACGGACGTTAACTTCCAGAAAGGGAGATAACTTGTAAGAATAGTTGTAAGCTAAGAAGTCAACAATCAACTGTACTAGCCATGTCACATTTCCTTTGTCCCCCAGTGTCCATCCCTTGGTGTAATGGCTATGTTGCTGAACTCCCACGTAGTTGACCACAGTTCGAGTCCTGGACTCGGTGGCTTAAACTCACGCCGGCCGTGTGTGCATTCATGCCCAAGATCATGAGAGGAAAATGGAGGAGAAGGGATTGTGGCGTGGCCATCCCCGCTAGGGGGTGATTTCTCGCTTTCTGTCTCTGTCTGTCTTTCTGGAGACCACACGGGCCTATAGCAAAAACCTCCCCCCTCCAAAAAAAAAATAGTGTAATATTTATAAAGAAGTAAAAATAATACTGGAAAACATAAATAAGGCTACTGTGGAGAAAGTGGGCAGCAGTTTCAGCTCACCTGCTAAAGATTAGACTCTATTCCAGAAGCTAGGAAGGCTCACTGAAGGAGCTGGGGAAGGGCGGTAACATTGGCTCTATTGCCTTTTTTTTTTTTTTTTTAAGGATTTTTTGTTTTAGGGAGAGAGAGAGAGAGAAAGCGAGAAATCCCCCCAGGGAGATGGCTACACGGCAGTCCCTTCTCCTCCATTCTCCTCTCAGGATTTTGGGCAGGCACGCACGCACACACTCTCAGCGTGAGTTTAAGTCACAGGGTCCGGGACTCGAACCATAGTCG